ATTATCGATACATATCGGAGAAGTCTTAACAGTATCCTGAACATAATGGAGAAGCATGATTAAAAACCTAACTTTGTGCATTGTCTGAGTAAATTAAAACTTTATTCTATCACAAAAGTTTATGCACGATAGTATATATGACACTATTTTCATATCGATAATCTTTATTAATTTTTCCTATCGACTATATTTCCAGTTATTGATCTTTTTAGCCAGCCCTAGTGTTGACACAGATGAAATTCTTTCAAGTTTAGACTGAAATTATCGCTAGTTCTTTGTGTTATACGGAAATGCACCTTTTAGGGGTAGTGCTTTGTTTTTGTGATTGGCTTAGCTAATGGATCTAATGAACTAGAATTACAGAAATGTGGAATAAAACGAATTTTTGAAAACTTGGTTTTCCTCTAACGTTTATAACAATGATCAACGGTCAACATTCTCCGAACCATGTATTGTTCATGTATGTTTAAATATACATTTCACCCATCTGGGATTCGTAGAAAGAAGAAATGATCAGCAATAAATGTTTGGTCTATAAGATTACTATATGGATCGAGTGACTTAGCTGATTGCATGTCATCGTAGTCCAGTGTGATTTGGTGTTCATGATGGCGAACTCTGGTCTGGTCAAGCCTGTTAAATTGAATTAAACATCTAGAAATTATATTAATGGTTAATCTCAATGATGTGCATGGACCACAAAGGCTTACAGTGAAAATAGTGCAACTCAAACATATTCATCTTGCTTCATGCTCATAACATCAATCATCTGATTGTCTTATGCTGACTCCTGTCAGACGATTGGGATTCAGGTGGAACAAAGAATTCTTCTTATCAAATTCTCAAAGACTGACTGACTGAGTTTGGTTTTACGCCGCTTTTAGCAATATTCCAGCAACATCACGGCGGGGAACACCAGAAATGGCTTCACACATTGTACCCATGTGGGGATTCGAACCCGGGTCTTGATGAGCCAACGCTTTAACCACTTGGCTACCCCACCGCCCCAAATGCTCAAAGAAAGGAATAAAGCATGAGTTTAACTTTCCCAGCACACATTTGGTCTGTACCACCCCATTTTCCTACCTGCCTTGGGCAGGACATATTGGTAGCCTGGTGAGGGAAGCATTTCCTCATCACACTGAGGTCCCAGCTTCAAATCACACATGGACACAAAGTGTGAAGCCCATTCATGGTGTCAGGGTATGAAACTGCCTTGGTTTTGAATGACAACAAAAGACTAAGGTATACCTAAAATATTTATTTCTCTACAAACATGATGGCTGTACAGAATGACCTCTAAACTAAGGAAAAGATAAAAGTAAACTCAAGATATTGTTATTTATTTCATTGGACCACACCTGCTAGGGCTGAATGATATTGTATGCCCAGTTGAAACAAAGTTTGTTGCTCAAAGCCATACTCAGCAATTTTAGAGCTATATGATGGTGATCTGTAACTTATCAAGTCTAGACAAGACAATCCGGTGATTGACATCACAAGCAATAATTCAATTTAATAATCTTACAGCTGAATTTGTGTACAAATGTAGTTCCAAAATATATTTTGATTTCCCATGCGCAGTTTCTTTTTTGTTTATTTGGTAGCATTGTAGCTGACTATCTTTGCTCGTAACCTTGATCACCTGATTGCCTGATCAGAAGTGGTTACCTAGTGCTGTGTCATACAACAAACAGTTCTTGTTAATAAAGGACCAAAGAAAGGATTAAAGCACTTGTTTCACTTTTAGAACACACTTTTGTTATATGCCACCACATTTTCCACTGTCTCAGACCACATATGCCTTTGGTAGGGGAGAGGGGTAGCCTGGTAGGTGAAGTATTTCCTTGTCACACCAGGACCCAGGTTCAGTTCCCACATGGGTACAATATGTGAACTCTGGTGTCACCTGACTTGATATTCCCTTGGTTATGAATGACAACAAAAGACGAAGATGAACTTAAGATATTAGTATTTATTTCTCTGAACGGATTATTTGTTTCTAAAGAATGAAAAAACAAAGGAAAAAGTATAATCAAGATATCAATATTGACTTCTCTGAATCAGATGTATGTTTTCAAAGCACAAATATATTTTTATTCAACAATTAGACTGATACCACCTCATTGATGTTCTGATAACCGTTATAAAAATAGACCATGTTGGCAATTCATTGACCAGTTTTCAGTATCTATCACTGTATAACCATGACTTAACATTACATCTTGTTCACTGTATACAAACTACAAGCATATCCAAACAGTGACCTCTACCTCCCCATGTAGATACACCTACACCACCTGTACTAACCATTACTTTAACATTACATCTTGTACACTGTATACAAACTACAAGCCTATCTAAACTGTGGCCTCCACCTCCCCATCTAGCCACACCTACACCACCTGTACTAACCATGATTTTAACATTACATCATGTAAACTGTGCGCAAACTTCAAGCCTATCCTAACAGTGACCTCCACCTCACCATCTAGCCACACCTACACCACCTGTACTAACCATGACTTTAACATTACATCTTGTACACTGTATACAAACTACAAGCCTATCTAAACAGTGGCCTCCACCTCCCCCTCAAGCCTCACCTACACCACCTGTACTAACCCTGACTTAACATTACATCTTATACACTGTATACAAACTACAAGCCTATCTAAACTGTGGCCTCCACCTCCCCATCTAGCCACACCTACACCACCTGTACTAACCATGACTTTAACATTACATCTTGTACACTGTATACAAACTACAAGCCTATCTAAACTGTGGCCTCCACCTCCCCCTCAAGCCTCCCCTACACCACCTGTACTAACCCTGACTTAACATTACATCTTGTACACTGTATACAAACTACAAGCCTATCTAAACTGTGGCCTCCACCTCCCCATCTAGCCACACCTACACCACCTGTACTAACCATGACTTTAACATTACATCTTGTACACTGTATACAAACTACAAGCCTATCCAAACAGTGGCCTCCACCTCCCCATCTAGCCACACCTACACCACCTGTACTAACCATGACTTTAACATTACATCTTGTACACTGTATACAAACTACAAGCCTATCCAAACATTGACCTCCACCTCCCCATCTAGCCACACCTACACCACCTGTACTAACCATGACTTTAACATTACATCTTGTACACTGTATACAAACTACAAGCCTATCCAAACAGTGTCCTCCACCTCCCCATCTAGCCACACCTACACCACCTGTACTAACCTTGACTTTAACATTACATCTTGTACACTGTATACAAACTACAAGCCTATCCAAACTGTGGCCTCCACCTCCCCATCTAGCCACACCTACACCACCTGTACTAACCATGACTTTAACATTACATCTTGTACACTGTATACAAACTACAAGCCTATCCAAACAGTGTCCTCCACCTCCCCATCTAGCCACACCTACACCACCTGTACTAACCTTGACTTTAACATTACATCTTGTACATGGTATACAAACTACAAGCCTATCTAAACTGTGGCCTCCACCTCCCCATCTAGCCACACCTACACCACCTGTACTAACCATGACTTTAACATTACATCTTGTACACTGTATACAAACTACAAAGCCTATCTAAACAGGTGGCCTCCACCTCCCCATCTAGACACACCTACACCACCTGTACTAACCATGACTTTTAACATTACATCTTGTACACTGTATACAAACTACAAGCCTATCTAAACAGTGGCCTCCACCTCCCCATCTAGCCACACCTACACCACCTGTACTAACCATGACTTTAACATTACATCTTGTACACTGTATACAAACTACAAGCCTATCTAAACTGTGGCCTCCACCTCCCCATCTAGCCACACCTACACCACCTGTACTAACCTTGACTTTAACATTACATCTTGTACACTGTATACAAACTACAAGCCTATCTAAACAGTGGCCTCCACCTCCCCATCTAGACACACCTACACCACCTGTACTAACCATGACTTTAACATTACATCTTGTACACTGTATACAAACTACAAGCCTATCTAAACTGTGGCCTCCACCTCCCCATCTAGCCACACCTACACCACCTGTACTAACCATGACTTTAACATTACATCTTGTACATGGTATACAAACTACAAGCCTATCCAAACAGTGGCCTCCACCTCCCCATCTAGACACACCTACACCACCTGTACTAACCATGACTTTAACATTACATCTTGTACACTGTGTACAAACTACAAGCCTATCTAAACTGTGGCCTCCACCTCCCCATCTAGCCACACCTACACCACCTGTACTAACCATGACTTTAACATTACATCTTGTACACTGTATACAAACTACAAGCCTATCTAAACTGTGGCCTCCACCTCCCCATCTAGCCACACCTACACCACCTGTGCTAACCGTGACTTTAACATTACATCTTGTACACTGTATACAAACTACAAGCCTATCCAAACATTGACCTCCACCTCCCCATCTAGCCACACCTACACCACCTGTACTAACCATGACTTTAACATTACATCTTGTACACTGTATGCAAACTACAAGCCTATCCAAACATTGACCTCCACCTCCCCATCTAGCCACACCTACACCACCTGTACTAACCATGACTTTAACATTACATCTTGTACACTGTATACAAACTACAAGCCTATCCAAACATTGACCTCCACCTCCCCATCTAGACACACCTACACCACCTGTACTAACCATGACTTATAACATCTTGTACACTGTATACAAACTACAAGCCTATCTAAGCATTGGCCTCCACCTCCCAATCTAGCCACACCTACACCACCTGTACTAACCATGACTTTAACATTACATCTTGTACACTGTATGCAAACTACAAGCCTATCCAAACACTGGCATCCACCTCCCCATCTAGCCACACCTACACCACCTGTACTAACCATGACTTTAAGATTACATCTTGTACACTGTATGCAAACTACAAGCCTATCCAAACACTGCATCCACCTCCCCATCTAGTGACACCTGACCACTAACCATATTGAAAGTACAGGAATGGGGACCTAGAAATGTTACCGCTGGTAGGGGCAGGTATTAGAGCTAGTAAGAAGAGAAGTAATTACTGAATAGAGCACAATTTCAGGACAGTGATAAGAAAAGGGTTTTAAGCTAGTAGTGACTTACATTCACAAAGCTTATTTGAGAGGAAGCATCCACCTATTTTGAGGTTTTAAATGATCTTACAAGGACAATAAGATGTTGTGTGACTAAATATTGCAGTATGAAAGTAGAATAAAGGTTGAAATTAAAAACACATCCATTCAGAGCAAAATATAGAAAACTGAAAAGTAATCAATTAATGTTAGTAAAACAGATACTTCAGACATACATTAACAGTGTAAATCGGATTACCATACTTATAGCCTGGCCCTCTTACAAACCTTCACCTCCACCTCATCATCCTCATCTCTCTTTCTCTTCCTATCCACCATCTTGTTCAGGGGTCCAGGTCTCCTGCTGGGGACTGGAAGTGACACTCCTTGGTGGCACAGGCTGGTCAGACTGCAGGACACATTGCACTCACTCAGGTTGGTGAAGCTGCTCACTGGGCTGATAGGAAGAGACATGGAGCTTGAGGACAGTAGTGGTCCATCCTGAAAAAGGTCATAGGTGTTATATAACCAGATGTCTTTGTAAACTGTAGCTGAGAGATTCATGTCATCTGGCAAACCTGACATATCTGATTCCAGATATCTGCTAGGTGGGAGGCCATAGTTGAAGCAGGTTGTGCTGGAAGATGGGGAGGGAAGAAGATCATCGAAGAATTCCTCAGAATTCTGGAAAAGGGTAGAAGAGCTGGGGAAGGGGTCAGTAAGACTGGTGGAGCTCAGGCTGGTCAGGCTGGAGCTGGCACTGGCTGGGAGAGACTCATCACTTGGGCTGACAGACCAGATATCTGGATTGACTGATAAAAACGTTGATGTTACATCATTGGTGTCAAAAAATGAATTAAATCTGGGACATTCTGGATAAAGGAAGGAGTCCTGGTTTTCTAGATACTTGCTGATGGGGCTGTCTGGTCTGTTACTACCAAACATGGGTGATCTAGGGGTAGGGCTAGTGGGGCTGATGGACCTAGTGGTGTTGGAGGGGATGGCTGCATCGGTCCAAGTTGTGTGGGGGTAGAGACAGGTACAGCGAGGCTGAAAGTCATCCAGGCTCACCCAACTCTCGTTGGGACACAACATCTTGTGGCTCTGAAGCGTGTTAGGGAATAAGTTTTATAAATTTTAGTACAAGTTACAAGAATAGCGAAGAACATCATACATGTTATTATATATGTTCTTTTATGAACTTCAAATGAATGTTAGTGTATTTCCCTATTATCTGTTTTGGGATATATTTTGAAAACTCTAAGTACAATTTACAAGAAAATCGAAGAGACATGTCTTAAAACATCTGTACAATTAACAAGTTAAAACTGAATTAATTTTTTCACTTTTGTGTTTCTTCATGTGAACGTTATTTCCTGCATGTGTGAGGTTATGAGAGGGACAAATCACAATGTCTACTACAAGTGTGTAAATCAGTTCATGTCAGTTACCTTCACAGTGTATCTCTCTTACTCCAACTCAAGATTATACTAGAGTATTCAACTCCAAACTCAAGTCTCACAAGAGAAATCTGTAAAATAGAATACATGCAATCAGCTGGTGAAATTACCAATGGCACAAATTGAATGAATCTAGTGGCTTTTAAATTACCAAATAGCACAAATTAGAACCTGAATAGTAGATTTCTTTACAGTCTCCCAACCAAAACGAAATCGCACGCACAAAGGGGCCCCAACTTTAGTCAGATTTGTGTATGAATTTATTAATGTTTTACCACTACAACTGATAAAGACAGAGACCATCAAACTGCATTCTATGGAGTCCATTCTGTTTTGGTCCTACATTCATATTTCTCTCATGTAAATTCAAATACCCGTGTGCACAGATACGGTCACAAGCCAGCGTGATCTGCTGGCCTGTCCCTTACCGTACTTATCGTACATTACATAAAATGTCATGTGAAAGTTTAAACTGTTGTGTCATTTAGTCGTTACAATGTGGAGTCATGTATGATTAACAAAAGAGGACATTTTGCCAGTTGTCAAGGATGACCTCCTCTCATGATTAAATTACTAACTAAAGTACATCTGAGACTATTTGAGCCACAGAAAACTCAACCTGTACAGGAAATAAGCTTAACTACCTTACTGCAGTAAGAAGAAAGCGAAGAAACTCAAATATGTCGAAGAAACTTTCAAAAGTGCAGAGGTGTGATAGCAATGATACGCTTCGGTAAACGAAGATTCGTAATGGCCGCTCTTGAACTTGGCAACCGTAACCTTAGCAACGCAGGTAAACAAGTCTATTTTGTAAAGTACATATTAAACAAATGACTGAAACATTCCGGATAACAATAAACCGAATTTCTCCGAAAATGCACATGCTACAGACAGAAAACTTATCTTTCCTATGCGGTAATTGTTAAAAGGGAGCCAACTCTGAAAGGAATCTGAAGTTATCTCCCTTTGCAAAACCGCTAAAACTAGAAAAGACGCGTAGACGTCATCGTCGATAATCTCCAGACTATACGTTACGGTCACTCTACACTATATAGTGGAGAGTGATCGTAACGTATACCCTGGAGATGATCGAGGATGCGTAGACGTATGAATCTGTGAAAGTATCTTGTGAGTTACATGTTTTGCAAGTCAGGCTTGGCTCCAAAGAAAACCCTACACAATCATTCAATATAATCAGATTTGATAAGGGACTTTGTATGTAATCAGGAATGAAAGCATGACCCATATGATTTTCAACCTCCCTATGCGTAAATTAGACAATGGTCTGTCTAAAAATAATTTAAAAAATGAATAAAAACAACAACTACAAATAAACGATCCAACAAGCGAATTAATCACTAAGATTTTATTCACCCGTATCAGACTTACTACCGATCTTGGCCTGACAATTTCCCGAGTTGAGGTGGGGTAGCACAAGCAAGTATTCAAGGTAATGGACAATGGGCACACACATCCAAGAGTGCCCAATGGGGGACACGGCGGTGTTTATCACAGTTCTGGTCGCCTCCAGCGGGCCTGGACCCATCTAAATCTCCGACGATGAAGTACACAAGGTACTGATCTCCATCTAGTTACCCAAGGTCTCTCTGTTCTTGGCCTGTGTGATGACTGTCCGGTCGGTCGGTAACATTTCATCAGGTTAGTTACAGCAACAGGGCTACCCAAAGTTCTAGCAACGTGGACATGAGTGGCTCCCATCAATACTCTTAAAAAATAAATTAAAATATAACATGCCGAGCTGTAGGCTATCCCGAAAGAACCGCATGATGGAGAATCATATGGTAGCCGCGGCGAAACCGGTTTATCATGCGCTATCGCAATCTGGTATCAATTTGAATCTCAATCACACTATTCTTTAGCTGACTGGTACGAAAGCACGTGCAAACTGGAGACGTCAAAGACCAAACCCAGACCTGGACGTCCAAGAAAAACTAGTGCCTGTGACGACAGGGCCTTTAATTCGCTTAGCCAGACGCAATCCAATGACCAGTATGCTGAAGACCTCCGTGAGACAATGGCGAGCGGGCGTCAGACTGTCCACGAATACCGTCCGAAAAGAGGTTAAGAGCTGCAGGATTGCGTGCACGTAGACCAGTCTTTCAGACGTCCATTTCTCACTGACAGACACATGCAAGAACGCCTGGCGTGGTGCAGGTTAAGGCAAAACCACAATCTCCTATACTGGCGCAGAGTCCACTGGTCGGACGAAAGTCGTTACCTTTTGGCACGTCACCGACGGCGCGCAGCCGTGTTCCGGCGCCGCCGCAATGAAGCTTATAACCCGGAAATGATTGAACTAACGGTCCCTTTGGCGATGGCTCAGTGATGGTGTGGGGTTGTGTGTCCTACGACTGCAAGCTGGACCTAATCATTGTACCGGAAACGTTAATCGGACAACGTTATCAACGTGACATCTTGGATGTTGCCGTAATACCCCATTTTGACAATCACACTTGCTAGCAGTCGTCCCCGTTCATGGATGATAACGCCAGGCCTCATCGTGCCAGAGCAGTAGTCGATCATTTAAGGAACAATGCTATTGACACTATTCCATGGCCAACCAAAGCCCGGATCTTAATCCCGCCAGAGCATTTATGGGATTTCTTGGAGGCGCCAAGTGAGAAATGGTGAGATCCTCCTGTGCAGCAGAATATGGATGAACTGCAACAGGCTCTTCTGAAAAGTGGCAGAGAATCCTGATGCTTAGAATCAGACGTCTCATAATAAATAGACGCACAGGCGTTTTCAGCAGTTCATTTCGATATAGTTTGACAGCAATCGTCATGAAGGCAAATCCTATGTTTAAACCTCGTTAATCCAAAATCACAAAATGTGTTTGCAAACGTTTGTCATATAAATGAAAACGGCACATGAAAAGTGCATGCTGAAAACGTTTTCCACGTATTGCACGAGTGCAGAGATCGACTTTAAAAGGCCAGACCAAATTCATCATTTCACTACAAAATTTATGATGTAAACGAAGATAAATGAATGCTACTGACCGAAATATCGCCATTGGACGTTTGGAAGCCAGTCTGAGGTTGCAAGTTACTTCAACGTCCACCACGGCACCATATCTCGATTATGGCATCGATACACCCGCTTCAATTCGACCCAAGATCGTCCCAGAAGTGGAAGACCAAGAGTGACCAGTCCTGCTCAGGACCGATTCATGCGGGTGTTCCACCTACGTCACCGATTTGCTACAGCAACAGACACTGCAGGACAGGTGCCTGATCTTCGAAGCATTTCCGACCAAACCATCAGATATCGTGAAGAGAAGTGGGAATTCGAGCATATAGACCAAAAGTTGGACCTGTCCTGACACGACTACACCGAGAACGACGTGTCCAATGGTACAACGGGGTACAGGCATGGAACCTGTGGAACTGGCGACACGTTTGGTTCAGCGTTGAATCGCGTTTCGCGATCTGACTTCGTTCCTGCAACAACGGGATGGGAAACAACGTGTCTAACGACGTCGACACGAACATTTTGCGCCGTAACAGGTGCCTATCTCACCAATGCAAACGTCAATGTCCTTCCCAGGCAAAGTGGGAATGTTGCTGTGTTGTGACTGTGGCAATATGTTTAAAAAATTTCACGTTTGAAATTTGGTGAATAAATTCACAAGTTAACTTTCAGTTGTTTGTAATGACTGGTCACAGTGATGTAAGTTTACCTAAACTTCGAAATCGCCTGATCTGAACCCGATCGAGCATCTACGGGACGAACTTGACCGACGCGTCCGTAAACGTCATCATCGTTCTCAGACACATGCAGAACTTGCCAACGCGTTGCAGGAGGAATGGCGTAGAATTCCCCAAGCAAACATCCGACGACTTGTACAATCTTTCTAAGGCGGTGTCGAGCAGTGACGGCTGCAATGGTGGTGTAACCAGGTATACTGACCTAAACGTGCATGAGTGAACTGAATTAATGCTGACGATGACAAGACATATGTTCATCAGTCTGTCGAATTTCCTTCATCTATGTTCAAGCTTAATCGACTTATGTACACTTAAATACGTTTCATACATTTTTTACCTGTGCGTTTCTTTTTTGAAGAGTGTATGATATCCCATGGCCTGCTCACATTGTTCGGTGTCGTGACATTTCAGTTGTGTTCTTTTCGTCATTGAGAGTGTCATTAGATTACCCTGATTGCGCCTGTAGTTTCGACTGCCTAAGTTGCACGTGCTTTTCACTCTTTTTCGTTCGTTTTCTTCGAAAAAACCCATGACATGTACGTGTTCCATTTTCTGTATAGATCATGGTTTTGTTTGGATGATGTGTTTCGCTCTGATTTAGTTTAAACTTGTGTTTTCACAATTTTACAGATTCATTCATAAAGTGGTAACAATTTCGCCGTCGGTTTACTATATTTTACATAATTGAAATATAGGTTGCCGCCATATAGCTGGAATATTGCTGAGTGCGGCGTGAAACTAAACTCACTCACTCACTCATACGTTGGTGTATAACATCGCTAAATACTGTCAGATAAGGAAGTTTGGTTTGGTTTCAGCATGTTTACAATATACATGGATTTTGATTGTGGTCAGTTTCACTTACTGAATTATTTTCAATGAATTGAGTCATGAAGGATTGTCTTTATGTGTGTTGTACAGAACCATGATCTAGGCGCACTAGAGATTTTGCTTTCTACCGTTATCATTAATATTACTGCAGATGTATCATAGCTGCTGTAGTTTTAGACCTCATGGGTTTTGTTTGCCCACACGGATGTTCAGTGTGAGAACAGGTGGCTCAGTTGTCTGAGGTCCCATACATGTTTTAGGTTTGTCTGAGACCTCCATCATGGTGGGCCTTTCTCCCACATTAAGCTGACATGCCGTGATATAACTGGAATAGTAATACAGGCGACTTTAAAATTCAACTCACTCACTCACTATACGAGTGAAACTTATTCCTAGTGTTCACCATTGTCTGTGAACATTGATAAAAGCAGTGTAACACATTATCAACGGAAGTAAAAGAAACAGAATCACTCAAATACGTCTGCAGTGATGGCCTCAAGCCATCTTAGCAATATACCATTGCATGTGATCCGATATGGTGTAATATTACGAAATGCACCATAAAATAATATTTCCGTCCATTCACGCACTCATGATAAGTGTTTCGAACCCCTGTCCTCATCATGCCGAGAGACGATACAAGATGATACTTGTTGTCACCTGTCAGGGTATAAAACAAGAACTGGCCAGGTCAGAGTCAGTGTAATGTGTGTGAGTTGAGTATTCATATCAAGGTTAAGAGCCTTGAACCCTACCTTGACCTCAGTATTGACTAGGGCTGGCTATAGAACATAGAGATCGATAATCGTTAACCAAATATCAATCGATTATCGATACATATCGGAGAAGTCTTAACAGTATCCTGAACATAATGGAGAAGCATGATTAAAAACCTAACTTTGTGCATTGTCTGAGTAAATTAAAACTTTATTCTATCACAAAAGTTTATGCACGATAGTATATATGACACTATTTTCATATCGATAATCTTTATTAATTTTTCCTATCGACTATATTTCCAGTTATTGATCTTTTTAGCCAGCCCTAGTGTTGACACAGATGAAATTCTTTCAAGTTTAGACTGAAATTATCGCTAGTTCTTTGTGTTATACGGAAATGCACCTTTTAGGGGTAGTGCTTTGTTTTTGTGATTGGCTTAGCTAATGGATCTAATGAACTAGAATTACAGAAATGTGGAATAAAACGAATTTTTGAAAACTTGGTTTTCCCTCTAACGTTTATAACAATGATCAACGGTCAAATTCTCCGAACCATGTATTGTTCATGTATGTTTAAATATACATTTCACCCATCTGGGATTCGTGGAAAGAAGAAATCATCAGCAATAAATGCTTGGTCTATAAGATTACTATATGGATCGAGTGACTTAGTT